AATGCAAGCACCAGCTGTTGTCTACTGTAATATTTACTGGCTCAGCTGTCCAGGTTGACTAACTCAAGCCGAACATAACTGACATAAGTCTAAAGCTTTTATAACACAGTGGGTTTAGCTTTGAAAGTGGTTGAAGAGTTTGAATAGGTCATAGACCTTGGGCATTGCTCATAGACGCCACCTTGCCAGCTGATGTTCCTTCATCTACAAAGTTACTGTATATACCATCAAATACATTGCTGGGACTTCTAAGCTGTAAAATAGAGTGATAGTGTCTTAATTATCAAAAAGAATAAGTTCTGGGAATCACAGATTGAAAGAAGCATGCTGCGAATGGAAAAACAGCTACCTCAAAAATAAAAATATACTATATGTTTCACCTGGGAATGTTGCTTTCCAAGGAAAAGCAATGAGTAAAACTAGGATCTCTGGTGATGATGAAGGGGTAGGTTCTGCTCTCTTTTCAGTTTGCGCCCGACTTGAGAAACGCTATTTGGAGAGGTTGAATTCTGCAGGCACAGTACACACCATTGCAGTTTTGAATGCTACATATGACATAGCCAGGATCTAGGCCAATACAAGCTGTAAATAATTATTTTAGGTTTAATTTTTTTTTACAGTGAAAACTTATAAAAACTGTCTAATGATCTAGCCCCATACAGGCTCTGGTCAAAGGCTTGTGATGCATTTTCTTCCTCTGGTGACACTTATTTTCAGATACAATTTTAAATCTCGTGCATTCCTGAAAAATGCATGAATTACTAATTAATGAAGCACTTTGACAACTTTTACATATTCATAAAGGTGTGGCTGAATAATTAGCATATGCATAACAGATGAACGATGGCTCTGGAAAAATCACAAACCTCCAGACAGCAGCCTTTAACTTCCTGTGCAGAGTCAGGTTAGTAAACACGATCTGTAACATCCCCAGGAAGTGTTCGTAATCATTTCAAGGAAGATGAAATTCAACAAGATCAGCATACATGTTTTACACTGTACTGTATATATGGTATATCATATACTGCATATTCCATGCATTTTACATTAGTGTGCTCTTTTCACTCTTTCCTTCTCTTCGTACAAGTGTATCTATTAAATTTTCTACTGACATTTTAGCCATTTTTTTAATCATATACTGTAGTTAATAACACTTAGAGGCATTAAAACACAACAAATGCTATTGTTTTCAATAAAAGAGAGCACTAGTGATGCAGCCTGAGTACACTCCCAATGCATGTAGCATCATGTAACTCCTGATTTTGTCTAGGAACTGTACAAAGCAGTGTATATATATCAACATTTAATAATGTATGATTCAGACCCTTAAAAAAGGAGTTTATGGTTTTACATCCTGGTGGAGTCCATGCAGTAACCCTCGGAAAATCTGTATTCCCTTTAGAGCATATTATTTAAAACAAAATTACTGTGTTAAGCTGTTCTTACAGGAGAATGACTGACATGTTGGTTATGCAGCTAGTTTTCATGAAATCTAATATTCTGATTTTATTGTATTGAATTACACAGGTTCAATGACCCGGCAGATATGTAAAATGCTGTAGGTTTTTTGGGGGGCCCATAACATTTTCTGTGCTCAAATACTAATATATATTTACTTGTGTACTATTTCCCAACAGGCAAGATTTTAATTAGATTATTTATGTGAGTTCACATTGTCATCCATTCTATCATTAGATGGGAGACTAAATCCATTAAATGCCTTCTCTAATATTCAAAATTACCTTAAAATTTACATGTCCACTGTTAACTAAAAATGCCACAAGTGTTCAAAAACAGTTCAAATGTAGCATTTATTACAGTAAAAGTCTCAATACATCAATACATTTTTTTGCTATTTTTCACACATCCATCAAAAGTATTAGCTGTGAGCCCACATACACATGCAGAGTCTAACTGAATTACAGAAAAAAAACAATTTGCTAACATTGGCGGTCCCCTTGGATAAGTTACCCTGACAAAAAATAAAATTGGTATTAGCCCTGCAATGTCTCAGCATTTCAGTGAGCACACAATGCGCCTGTCAAATAATAGAGAAGGTTGATCAAAATATGCCTGCAATCACTGAAACAATCATTTTTAATCTCAGTGGGAGCTTCCTCGACTCCAAGATATTTAAACAAAACAGTATGTGACCTAAGATGCATGGTGGATTATTAATCACATTGGCACACCTTTCATTTTATAATGAAAAGCAGAGGTTATTTTCATAGTCAAGAAGCTACTGTTGACAGCCAGGATGAAGAGTGTAACTGAGTGGTATTTAATATATAAAGCAAACCTGAGATTATTTTCCTCATTTTACTCATTTCTCCTCATTCACCACCCTCTATTTCAGGACTTATTCCTTCTGTTAAAATATTTAGTGAGACCATACTGTCTAATCCGAACAGCCGGTATTACTCCAGATTTCCAACCACTCACTAAAAAAATAAAGGGCGTTTATCTAATAAGACTATTTACTGCAGAGTTTTACTTCATACCGTTGACAGAAAAGCTGATTAATTGCATCCCATTGTGCTTTGACATCAGCTTTTTATATAATACCATCAGATGGGAAAAGTCCAAAAGGCTTTGGCCAAAGACAGTGGATGTGTCACTTTCTAAACGTCTTTCCATTGTTAAAATCTGCTTACAAATGTCTGCAAAAGCTGACAAAAATATGCCTGTATAAAAACCACAAAATAACATTCATAGGGTTCCTAGGCTTTCGTTCGAGCTATGTCTTGGCACAAGACACGTTTAACAAAAACACAGTGAGCTTTTTCGTCCCGTCCCATTGTGTTTCCACATTAACTCCAAGCTGAGCCCTTTGAGCTCTTCCAAAATCGTGTCTCGGGTTCCTTCTGGGGAAGCTGGTTCTGGCAGCAGGTTTGGCCTACACCGCACACCATGTCAACTGTTCAATTGTTCCTTTCTTTTCCCTCTTTTTCAAACGACTTTGCCTACAAACACACTGCACTGAACCATTAACGAAGCTCACAAAGTTAAACAATTGTAGATGCCCACAAGAGCCAGCTTGTTATTCCCTTCATTAAGTACTGTGTATGAGGCTTTGTATTAAATACCATTATTCTGATAGATACTTTCAGAGGAATATTTTCCCAAGCACAGAAAAAATTAAATCCTATTGCATGTTTCAGAAATGTCTTAAAGTTGTACAAGCAAGTTACGAACTATAAGCCATGACATAAGTCAAAATACAGATGAAAATATAATACAGACTGTCAATCATATACAGTCAATTTTATACAGGACTATACAGTCCATATAAAAGACGGTATAACACTTTATTTTATCTAAGGCCTTTAAACATTTTATTCTGTTTTCCATATGCTGTATACACGAAGAATAAAGATTTAAGAATTAGTTCAGTATATGAAACATCCCTCTGTTTTGAATTGACACTGAACATGATCCGATTGAAAATAAAACAGGGATATGCCTGAAAAGAAATTCCAAAACACTATGAAATGTAGATCAGGAAATGTGCAAGTCAATACCACTTTGGAAGTGTGGTTTGTGCACGATTAACTCCATCGCAGGCATGCAAACAATGTGGCACAACCTGGCAGAAAGACCCTGCACAAGGACCAGTGGGATCTCCCTCCATTCAGGCTGCAACTGCCAGAACAGTGACATAATTCAGGAGAAGCTGATGTTGATGTGTGTGTCTATGCAACTCATCCAAGGTTGGTGGGTCAAGGGAAAACACGAGAAAACCACAGCCAACTGCATGACAACAATCTCAAGATTGAATAGTAAAATCCTGAGTGACTGCTGCTGTGTCTACACAAGGATTACCTTGAATGTTTAACCAATTACTTTGAGGCTGCATGCTGGTGAAACAACTGGGAGAGCACAGATCTCAAAATATTGTCAATATAACACTGTACAATGTGATTATTGCTGAAAACAAGCGGACACTTACAGTATAGTTTGCTTTAATAGCTCCTTGCACTATTATAGTATGCTTACACCAAGAATACAATACAACTCAGCAAATTTCAAGTTTCTCCTGGGTACACTTGCTTTACCATCACCACTACATCAACGTTCAGCATAAAGCATTAGCCTCTGCCAATATCTAGGGGGGTGAAGCCTCATGTTTTTGAGTCATAGTGTTAGTGCTGTAGGGGTACCCAATGACTGAAAATGAGGTTTTAAGGTTTTGCACAATGCCCAATTGTGTTTACAAGCAAAGATGTTGTGCAGATGTAATCCATCTAGTTGTTCCTCTGAACTTAACAACACTGTTATGTGGTGGTTACACGGAGAAGGTTAGGTCTGGATTAATCGCAGGTGCTTCGTGTGAGTCCACAGTTTACACTAATAGGCAGACAGACCACAAATGCCCCATCACAATCAATTTTACATTTGAAAGTTCTTGTGAGCAGCTATTGCTACATTGCATTACCTCTATGTTTAAACAGTCTGTGTTTACCAAAATAAGTGAAATCCTGTGCCTTCATGACTACACTTCATTACACTTCACATATGCATATATCTAATTTTTTCATACTCGGGAGTGGAAACAGGGGACATGAGTTCTTAGCAACAGGCCTACAATAGCCTAATAATACTTCAGTCGAATGGGTTAATGTGCTAGCACTTCCAAATAAAAAATAACAGACAAACACATCTAAGAATTCCAAAGAGTCTGAACCGACTCCCGTTACAGTAGGGAGGTGAGAAAATGCTTCACCATTTGAATTAAGAGGGTGCTTTATGTAGACTAGACTATGCAAACCTAGACTTCTACTCTTTCAAAAAATGCAAGGCCCTCTTTAATGTCCATGTAGTCAGGATTTTAGAATAACATCTCATGTGAAAGATGGCACAGTGCCCAGTGTCACAATAATGAGGCATTGGTTACATATTCTGATACAAAATGAAGAGTTTCACCTACTGGTCCGCCAAAACCACTTTTATGCATTTATGAATAAATACATTTTCAGAATACACTGTAGAACAGTAGGAAAAGTCAAGGATCTTGTGTTGACTACTTCTCCAAGACGCCACTGGTGCTTGAGATTCAGTACAGTATAGTCCACCATCACTTAAACAGTGTGATGAAGGCAACTGTGCTGCTGTAGATCTGCTGTCTGATCATGCAGAGCTTTTGAGGGACTGGAGGCCAGACTTTTGAACACAAAAGAATAACACAGCTGCTGCCTGCAGAAAGGAAGCAGGTCCTTCTGAAGATGTGATCTAGAAGGAAACAATTAAGGTCACTCAGTAAACCCTACATTCTGTAAACAGGTCTGCTGGATGTATACACTAGTTTTTTAGTACTGCCAGTAAGCAGTTTAAATGCCTGGCACCTGGTTTATCTAGGGACTGAAATCAGTCAGTTAAGAGAGCTCAAGTGGGACAGGTTTTCCGATATGCCATTTTCTTTCTTCACTCTAAAATATGTGCAAAATAAATGGTACTGTTTGACCTCTTATCACTACTTCTATTTATGAGTTCGTGCTTCAAAAGACTACACTGCACCACCCTATATGCTGTATTATTTAATTTTTCATGTTATCTTTTTTCTTCAAAAACATTAATCAACTCGACCTTGATAAACTTGAATTTGATTATTACAGTATCTGTAAAGAATTTAAGGAGAACAGGAAAATAACTTTATGTATTTAGATACAATTGAAAATGAAGTATAGAGTACAACTGAGAAAAATTGAGAAAGAGAATCACATACCTTCAAATCACCAATACATACAGACTTTGAGGAAAATATTATTTTGTTCTATAAGGAAATAATCAACAAACTTCATATTGAAATGGAATGAAAAGCCTCAAAACCATGTGGCTCAGAGGATCTAAGAAGGTCACTACTGCCATAAGATACAGAACATTCACATAAATTAAAGAATTATATACTTTGTTACAAACTGAAGAAACCATCAGGTAGATGACAGTATGCACCCCATACAATGGTACTGTATAATAACTATCATGCATGTTAAACAACAAGAGAGAGGATAACAGCAAGACAGTACATCAGGGAGGACTTTGATTGAGATTAGAAAGTTTGTGTTTAACCTTGCTATACTTTGGAAGGTACTTCTGTACCTCTGCAATGAGTGTTGGCAGAAGAACAGGGTTGCCTGGTGGGTCCACTCATCTCTGGGAGTCACTTTTCCACACTAATCTATTTTAAACCATCTGTGAAAATAGCAAGATTCCTTAAGTCCTTCACCTCTAAGGATTAAAAATGGCTCAGTGCATTAGCCAGCGTTTTACACATACTATACATACTATTAACCCAACCTTCAGAGTCAACGTTCCCTAAACAGTTTTCTTATAAAGCTCTTAACATTTCTAGAGGTTTTACTCTACGTTTACTGATAAAACTCTTTAACATTTCCCCAGGTTTTACTCTACATTTACTGATAAAACTCTAAATTTCCTCTAAAGTTTTATAGTTTTATTCAACAATGTGAAGGCACACCTTTCAGCTACAGCACATCACTGTAACACTGGGCACTTTCTTATTTTGGAAGTGTTCAAACCTACAGTATGCACAGAACTTAACTCTTAACAGCAAAAAATAAAACTGTCTTTATATTGCACTGTAATACAGGACTATACACCTACAGTACCAGAGAACTTTAGGGCCTATTTATTAGCTTACTTCAGGAATTTTTCTTTAATTAGATTAATTTCATATGAATTTATGGAGGTCTGAGTCATCCTAAATTTGACCATTCTTTCTTGCTCCTTGAACTTCATACCTTGAATTTCAAAATTTTCAGAAAATATTCTGATTTATTTTTTTGCTGAGCTTTACATGTTCTTATGGGGCTACAGCAACATTTCAGTGGGTAGCATCTGGAAAGGAAGTCTTGCTAAAGCAACAACTTCCATAATGCAAAAGTATTTGGAGAGATCTGTAGCAGCTGAATGAAACTTTAAGACTCTTTTCAGGTTATCCTTTTCACACACTTCAGTTAAAGGTTTCCAAAATACTCCAGGGGGATTCAAAATATTCTCAAGTGAAACCGAGCTTTTATATATAACTCACAATTTAAATGAGAAGTATACATTGTATTTGCGTGGTGCTTCCTTCTATTTACATTATTAGTCTCTGTATCAGGACCCTCTGGATTTCACTGAGGTTTATCTAAATGTTTATCTTTATCTCCTTTTTCTCATGTGTTTCTCCCTGCTTTCTAGTTACAAGTTGAACAGGTAGAAGTAAATATTAAGAGGGCAACCTACAGTACTCACTTTAAATGTAAGATTTTCTGCATTGACAGCTCGCAAGTGCAACTGCATTTCTGCCAAAATGCAGTACCAATAAAGTCTTGAGTCTAGTATAATGAGAAAATCAGATAAATAGCGGATATGTTCACGAAGACAGCACTCTCTGACTGATTCATTAGATTCAGGCTATGAGTCTGAGCTCAGACACAGGCTCAGATTCCAGAACAGTAAAATATTGTTCCACCCGACTCACTCCAATGTTTAGTCATAAGGACCACGGAATAACAGAGCAGCCGCCTGTCTTGACTAACAGAGTATTAATTATTATCTGCAGCACAAACACCTACATCTTTGTACTAACATTGTGACAGTTAATCCAAACAGGCCACTTAAAGCTGCAACATCATTTGAAGACTGTGCTGGATCGTCCCCCCTTGCATCTGGCAACTACCAAAAGTGTGTTATACAAAAAAGAAGAGAAAATGTAAATTAAACATTTTTATTAGATTAAAATGGCAATGACACAAGTATGATTTCAAGCACCCACACATATACATGCATGACATATTTTTCAGGGCCTGTTCATGGTGATGCTAGCTTAGTGAATTACAATAAGATTTATTGTGCAGTGGTGTATGTCTAATTTTCCATCTACTGCTGGGAGCTTCAGCTGGATGGAGCAAACATAGGCGCCTATTATACACACCGCAGTTAAAATGTGGTTTTTTCACATGCTCTTGGGGAAAGGAGCTTACTGCACATGCTGGCAAGAAAAGACAAATGATTGATGAAAAGAACAAAAGGCACATTTAAATGGGTTTCCAAAATGCTTCAAGGGTCCTGTTCCAGAAAGTTTTTTTTTGTGTGTGTGAGCAGCAAACAGAAGTTTGAAGTAAAAGTAGACTGTCATTTCTGGGTTGTATTCATCTACTGTAAATCATCTATCAACTAACCTTTTTTCCATTAGCTGCTAGACTTTTCAGAAAGATAAATATGGGACTTTGATGTCAAATAGAGTTGAAGACATTAAAGGAGGCTGTTCCTACTTAAAACCTATCCAACACCTTTATTCTCTGTATTGTTCTAACCCAGCATTGGTTCTGAGTAGAAATTATAGACCGGTCGCAGAAAAATGTAAAAACACTGATTAATGCCAAGATGGCTGTACTGTGTAACACACTGCAATGCTAATTAGACTTTAACTGAAAATTCTTTAAAAGTAAAGTATATAAGACACATACCTACTGTAGTTAAATAATCTGAAACAACAAATGATATAGTAACACAAATGGCAACAATCCAAGCAATAAATAAGTGTGCACTGTTTGTGGCACACCATTTCCAAGATGTTCTTCTCAAGACCTGGCACTGAAGCTGGCCTGGCACTGGTGTGTCACGCTGGGTATCAGTCTCGGTGTGTTTACCTGCTGTAGGTTATCAGATTTTCTCACAAACACCTGGGCCATGTCTTGTCTCGTCTGCTGGCCACGGCTCTGCACAGCTGGTCCCAGACAAGCACTGCAGGAAACTGTTGTGGGGGAAGAGCAGAAATGGAAGGATTTTTTCTTTAATCAAATATCAGGGTCACCACAAAAGTGGAGGTGAGTTCATATTGAATATTATTTGGTTAAATCCTGTGGCAAAATATTTTCCTTTATCAAATGTTTAGTTTTACCATGTATATATGATTACTTTTCAGCTTTTTCATAACAAAAATTAAATGTTTTAATCAATATAAAACTTTAAAGGGGGGATTACATGAAAAATGTAATACTTCAGTTTATAACCGAGGCCTTTTTTATTTGGAAATCATTTGTCTTGTCATTAAGAAATATTTTTTCATCATTAAACTATCTTGAATATAGCTGGTCCAGGACTGACATTTAGTGTGTCCTGGAGTTCCACAAAATCCATCCATCATCTTTTGCTATATTTAGAAATAAAGCACAAATTAATAGCCCCTGGGAAAAGCAACCTGTAGAATGAATATGAAGCTGAAGAGTGGCTAAGTGCTGCTGACAAGTTAGGGTAAACTCTTAGCTCAATTTACAAACTTGCAAGTCAACGCCAAAGTGTGAAGGCTCTTTTTCCAAGAGGAATAAAACTGTCAAACAACCAAGAAACTGCTTTAACTGCTCCTGACAAACCTAACTCATTTCCAATTAAATCCACTGTTTCTTTTTTTAATATTTTGCTTAAATACAAAAAACGAAAAATGACCACCATGACATTGAATGCGTGAACATAGCAGACATACAGTATCAGGTCTTTAGCTTGCAGCATGAAAACAGACAATTGTGTCATGCTGTGTGCATTTTGAATATGCAACTGTGGTAGGAATCTCAAAAAAACAGTGTAACAAAATAGACACTAAAAAACCAGTGAAGATGTTGAGTGTTCATATAACTATAACTCCGTCTTGTTGAGCTTTACATGCTGTTATGGAACTATAGCAACATGTCACCGGGTAGCATCTGAAATATGAAGCTGAAAGCAGCAGCCACGTTTAAGTCTTATATAGCCCTGCCTCCACATGTCTGCACACTGGACCACACACATTCTCAAATTTGTCCATCGGCCACCAGTCTCCAGTTCTTTCCATTCTATTTTAATCCATTCCAAACAACTCTGCCATGTTGTTCTGAGTCTCCCCCACTTGGTTCCTACATTTTCCGGCTTCCATTTGAGGCCTGTACTGGACAAACAGTCTTTATTGGTTTCCAATACATGCCCCAGCATCTGATGTCTTCCCCTTAACTGATTTAAATGTCAAGTCTGTAGGAGTCTGGAAAGTAAATCATGTAATGTCTTTATCTTTTCCACTGCTTTCTCGTATATTTTGCAAGCTACTCATCGAAATGGAAAAATTGCACCCTGAAGACTTCAACATGTCTGGCAAGAAGCGAAGCTTTATAACTAGAGAAGATCTGTTTTTCACCTGCCTCCTTAATCTATCCTCTGAATAATTAAATCTTGTTTGGAATATTTTCAATAGATTACAACTGCCACTGAGCAGTTTGCGTGAAAAAAGGGTTAAATACATTTCTGTTTTATTAGCATTTAAAGCATTATTTCTCCATTAAAATAAACAAAACACCTTGCAGAAAGAGTTTAGAAAATAGAGAATAAAGAGGCAAAAAGCAGTCGCTGTCTTATAAACAGCAGTACTCTTCAAAAAGTATTTCTCTTTCTTTCTGCGTCACAGTGATGTATTATACTAGGAATTTTGCATTGAATTAAATTGAATAATGATAGACCCTTGCCTTTGTTTAGTGACTCATAAAAATGCAGGAATGTAATTGAAATCTTGGATTTTAATCTGGGTTCCATTTGAGGTTTTTCTTTGCTATAATAAACTGTGTAGTAAATGTTAGTTTTAAGGAATGCAAAGCAATTGTATAACTAACCTTAAAATGGGTGCTTTTAAAAGCGCGCTAACCCTTTTTTAAAAAACGATTTGGAATCATTTACCCATTCTCCAGTTCAGGTCAAGGAGGGATGTGGATTCATATTTGTACGTACAGTAAGCCTTCTTGCTGGCTATTTCTCCAAAAATTACTAACCTTTTCTATTCATAATCTGGGTGCAGATACAGTATGTCACCAGGCTCTTCCATCTTTGCATGATTTTATCTTATTGGATTTTACTAAAATATTGTCAAACGTGCTGAAATTAACCAACAACCAATACTCTTCGGTTTCCAAACAGGAACATCAGAAAAGCCACAGATAAGAGGAGGTCATGTGGCCTATCATGCTCATCTGGTTTACTCTACTGCCACATAGCCTTGGTTGTACTACTGAGAACAAACTCCCTCAAACAGGAAATTTCCTTGACCCCCTCCCATAAGTCTTTGAGAGGTGGAAGGCAGCTTGAACACCCAAAGAAAATCTCCACAAACACAGGCTGAACATACAGAGTCCACACAGGTATCCCAGGCTGGACATGAATCCAGGATTATCCTGGAACTATGAGGCAGCAGTGCTAATCCCCATACCACTGTGCTGCCAATAACCCTCCCTCAGAGAGAAAAACACCCAAGTTAGAAAGAGGCATCACTAAAAACCCCGAACCCACCTGCGGGGATCTCTGTAATGCCACTGATACTGTATGTAAAAAAGCACAGACTATTCAGGGGTATTCACGAATTACCTTATTATCACTGCCACATCACTGTTTATAAAGACAATCCTACAGTAAGCTTTCCAAAAGAACTTCATACAGTATACAGTCCATTATTATAAATACTGATACATAATAAATTAATCTGATAAAGTGCTAAAGTGATATGCTAAAATATGACTTAATTTAGAAAGCAGCTCTTCACTCCATTTCTAAGAGGTGTAATTTCTAAAACTACTGTATGAAGAGCAAAAACTATTTAAGCCTGCATATACAGTATGTCATTAAAACAATGTACAAACATAATGGAGATGCAGTATAGCTACCAGAAGTTAAACATACTGCAGAGTACTATAATTGCAACATTCTACCACCAGAAAACTGAGGGACTTTGAGTGAGTTACAGTAAATGTATTGCATCTCACCATGCAAAGCATCTCCAAGTGTTGCACCAGACAGCTTTAATCAGACATCTTCCAGAACAGAGCTGTACACAGACTGCCTAGAGCTGTATTTTCAGAGAAAATTCCTTGTGAAATATTCCTGCTGCCAGCATTTACCCAGTGTCATGTACTGTACATCTGTATGTAGTGCTTCAAAATTCAGGCCTGTGTGCTAGGCCATTGCTTATTTTGAAACCTGCCATTTGTGGTGATTGTAAATCATATCCTCTTTGAAATACAGTTTATGTGCATTGTGTCCAAATCTTTGACCTCCCTGCATAAATCGAAAAATGAGCACAGTGGCTATTCAAACACTGTTTATGGTTACACAGTACAATTACTGTCAAGTGCTGGCACCTTCCATCTCCAACAACGTTATTCGCTGATCTATTACATTCAATATATATTGTTTATACTGAGCCTCTTCAACCATGATAGCTCTGTTACATTTAGTGCACATTCATTTACCCAAGCAAGCGGCAATTCCATTTTTAACGTAGTAACTAATTTAAGACACTGGGTATGAATACTTCGTAGACTTCTACAGGCTTGAAGAAATACTTATCTGTGCACTCTCTTCAGTTTCTCTGCTAGCATTCATAACTGCAACTTGGAAGAGCGGATAAGTGCTTGGTTCAATTAGAAGAGATACCACTGTGATAGGTTATAGGTGATATGTATAGGTTAACAATATAGGTATTTAGCTCACTTCATTATATTGTATATACTGTAACGGTGAATAAGTGTTGGAATTCTAAGGTGTGAAACTTACTGTCTAACGAAACTAGAACTGAAATGAACAACAGTCTATTTTTATTTTTTTAATGACCTATCATTTGTGAGCCTTGTGTCTTTTATTTGGCTATTGAACTGATATGAGAATACTAGAGTGTAAATAAAGGTTGTTTCTTGTTTTCATACCACATACACATCTGAATAAGGTTCCAAAGGGAAAGGTATTTTTTTTTCCTTTTTACTATGTACCAAGGAATTAACATCTTCCTGTTCCCCATACTGTTTATAAATGCTCCATTAACGGACATATTGCTGTTATGCATTAATAAAGCTCCTCAACTAAAGTGATACCAAATACAGCTATCAATCTGCACAAGTAAAGGTTTATTCTATGATGAAAAGAGAAGAAAAGAAACATATTGTACGTTTCGGCTGTGGTGCCTTCTTCTTTTACTTGTTCCTTTACAGCCTACACATGCTGACGCAGCCACCAACTTGAACTACAATTAAGCAGGTTAAGAGAGGTTTCATCTATATCAGAAAACATCTGGTATCACCGCAAAAGAAAAGACAAAAATTAAAGTCTATAAAATAACACGAAGCCACTTAAACACAATACTCCCCATCCACACAAACTGTATTTCGAAACACTTAATTTGACATACTGTAGCATACAGTACAGCATCTTTCACAAGACGTGACATCACTCTTTACACGTAGCTTGCATATTGTTTTTAAATATTACCAAATAGAATTCACAACAAGCAAGCGACTTAATAAACATAAGCAGGAGTACTGTCACAACTTACAGCCAACAATTTCAACTCCGTACAAGCTCACTCTCCTTTGCTATCATTTCACATTACATATACCTGCAAACACTGTCTAGTTTTAAACAGCGGAGCTACAGTATGAAGTCTACTGTATGTTGTATTAGCAACCTGCTGCACTTGAGCTAAAGAAAACCAGAAGCAATGCATTTGTAAACACAAAGTGGCAAGCCCAGAAAAATGTATAAGTTGAAAGATACAATGCTTCAACAAGATAAAGCTTTAAAATGCACGTTATATTATTATAATTTCATATCTTTAAAAATACGCATATGCTCCTTACCCCACCACAGCTAACGGACGATCAAGTGCGAACTGTTCAACTAGAAGTTTAAAAACGCATGAAAATTGGACATATCAGAGAATGGCATTTTACGCGACTGTTAATCAGTGAGATACGTAACATAAATGAACACAATCATAAACTGAAGCTTTGTACGTACTTTCCAAACATTGCTTTCGGTTCAACCTTCTGAGACGCGTGTAAAAGCTCGCAACTTGCAACTTCCGAATTTACTCGACAACTTCCTCCGCAACCTGACGGCGATCGCGACTCCATTCTCGGCAGAACTGCACCGCTTCCTGACAAACTCGATAGTTGCAATATACTACGGTATATCCCAAAAGGGTCGCTTATATTAATAATCACATTTTAGATATAATAAATTACGTGAAAAATCATAGGATGACTCGACCGTGTTTTAACTAAAGTGAGTTATGAATCAATTGCACAATACACAGGAAATCGCTGCGCAGCGAAACGTTTTAGACGGTGTCTGATCGCTTCGTATCTTAGTTGCTTGTAAGCAATAGCTTACGCAATTGCTCATCAATAGGAACAGACTGTATGGAGAGACTATGATTGCAAGCGTTTATAATGCAAAATATTCACGAGCATATACAGAATACTGCACTTTGCATTTTTCTAAGTGTCTGAGTTTACGAATTTCTTCAAAGATTTTAAAACCTAAGATGTAGCTATAAAAATCACGTCAGCTTACTAAGTCTTCAGACTGAGTTTTGTGATCAAATTAAAAATTCGGTTGTCATTTTTAGCCAGATGCTCAGCATATCATATAATTGCCTTTTACGTGGTCTGTTAGTGTTAACTCGGAAAAACTAGTTCATGCTTTTGCTTTGTCAAGACTTGGCTGCTGTCAAAGAACAAAATACAAAACGTCCATTATGTCCAAAGTTCAAAAGCTAGACTTCTGTCTGGGTTTCCTCTTGGCGCACAAATAACTCCTGCCACGAAATCCCTGCACCTGCATGCTGTTGATTTTCAGATAGGTTTCAAGATATTGTTCATGACTTTTTAGTCCATGGAAGGAATCTTTTCCCCTTATATGTCAGAATTACTGAATAAATACACATCTCCAGTTCTATGATGCTGTTCTCTTCTTTGTTCCTTCAATAAGATTATCAACTCTAGTAGAAAGTGCTCTCTATTGGTGCTCACCTACCATACAGTAGGCTACTCTTCCCTATCGGTTTAGCAATTCTGAGGGACAGCTTTTAGATCTTGTTTTAAACGTATTTGTTTGAACTGGTATTCCTGTACTTTCTGTCATGCATATTTTACAGTATATATATTTTTTCCGTATCATCAGTTTAAATCGCTTTTCTCCTGATGCTTAATAAATTGAATGTGATTTTGGTATTGAACAGAGGGCTTTCCACCAACTGTGGCTAACATAACTGAAAACACACTCTAGAGACCCACTACCAATCCATGCTGCAGTAGTAACTGTTGCAGCTGTTCTCCATCTTAAAGCTTCCACTAGAAATGCCTTTTGGTCATGCTCAGAAACCCTAAGGACTATGTTCTGCAAAATGTTTTTATATCTAATGCCTGCTAATGTTTGCTTTTCTAGGAGGCAGCCCTGTCAGGCAGTTTTTAATAAGACCTATATGCTTGTCATTCTATCTCCTTTATATGTCTGCTACCATTAACAAGGCTCAAACTGCAATAAAGATGATTTACTACAGTTTTTTATAAGATTGTTGATGGCCTTATTGTTCTTTTGTTTGCCCTCACAAGGAAGAGAAAACTTGTGAACACTTGATAAATATTTAGCGTTTTACCTCTTGGATTCAATATGAAAAGGACAACAGATGACCCAACACACAGTTGTGGATTCATTAGTATTGGATTGCTGGAAGGCTCGTCAGTATGAGTGGAGGACAGAATCTTTCCTATACAGTAGGTACTACTGGCAACCCATTACTGCATCATTAAAAGACCTGCATGGTAATTGGTTTCTCTCCCCATACACCCTCATTTGGAACTATAGTGTGCATGGTTTGCATTATGAACGAAAGCTACTGTTAATCAAAGATTATTACAAAATGAAGGAGAAAACTAAGAACTGATAATCTGCCTTGCTCTTGTTTGAAATACTTAAAACACATGGTGAACAGTAGGTCATACTTTAATCTTGTAGCTCATCTACAGTAGTTCTAAGGAAGACTTAATCCGCTGCAATTTAGGTACTTAAAGATAGATTATTTTGTTCTGTACCAGCTGAGAGCATTCTTATGTAATGGTTATGCCTGACTGTGCTCTTAAACAGTGGCTCCCAGTCCCAGTTTTGGGAGACCTCTGTGCTTGCTGGTTTTTCGGTCTAACTGAGCTCCAAATCTCCAGTGCTAATTGATTAATTGATCTGCATTGTTAAGACTTTTGAAAAAATACTCCACTTCAAGGATACTGTTGCCAGCAGCCCCAGCATACTGTACAGAACTGTAAGCGGCTTCTCCTCAATTTGTTCATCCCCATTTCTGGTTAAACAGCTCTTGGGTCTTGGTGCAGTCTGGCTTCTAGAGAATCAGGCCAGCAAGCGAGTTGATGTGCAAGAAGAAGACGAAAGCAAAGATCTTAAAACAAAATGTTTTCTCTTTAATTTTTAAGTGTCAACAGCAGTACAAAAGATGGAGTGATGGTGAAACGCTTTGTTTGTTTCTAGGAAAAGGAGGACACTCTTGAGGTAAATGAGCTTAAACAGGCAGTCACCCCCACCCCACCCCCACAAGGATACCCAACCCCGCCATGTCACATCAACTGATTAGGTATATTTAAAGATGGTGTTACATTACAATATGCCAAAAACGCATTGTGTGGAAAAAAAGTTCTAAAGTTTTGTATACATAGCTAAGGTGCCTATATACACCAGAATGTGTTCCTCAGCTGGTGTATTACCTTTTAATATTAAATACTACCAAAACAGAGGAGACAAAGCTCCATAAGTACCACTGTAGAATTATTTTACCTTTTAGTTTTACCTCACGTCAATACTGCACATGAAAACCATTGACTGGCTGGTTTACATTATGAAGCCAAGCAAAAAAAAGATGATTTTTTAATTATCTTTTTTTTTCTTTTTTTACAATAATATTCTTAGCAAACAGCTGTCTTTTGTACTGTATAAAGAAGTGTGTGAAGACAAATGTGATGGAAACCTTTTTAAGTTCAATTAAAAACTTTACACTGGACTGTACAAGATATTCTGATAAACTATTTACATTTTCAGACTTATAACATTTGTTTTCAAAGCAGCAACAGACACTAGTTTTTTTTTTCTCTATTAACGCCCATACAAGACCTGCCATGGGCCACGGTACCTGCAGTGAAAGATTTCTATGCAGAGAACTTGCTTGTAAGAGTCTGATAGCGGGTTTCAAAAAATAGCAGCCCTAGCGAAAGAAGAGCCACACCCACAGTGTTGCTATAGAAACTAAAAAAAAGCAAAGTACCATTGACAACAGCCTGGGTTGCCCCCAACAGCAAATTTTACACTTCAGAACAGCAGCTAGCATGTCAGTCCAGCATGTCAGTGAATTGTGCTGATTAAATTAACACAGAGAACAATCTCACAATACACATCACAAATTCCAATGTCAGAAAAGAGTTACAGTAAGATAAGTTATGTAGTATCAGCTTATAAGCTTGTCTTTTGTTAATAAATCCGCTTTTACATGGCAAAGACAATAATGAGTTAACATAAATGCAAAGCATACTAAACCTGCCACAAGCTGGACGGCTAACTTAGAAAGTTTAAAAAAAAATAATTAGCGAAAACACAAAAAAAGACCAAAGGAAGACAGACAGGAAATGCACACTAGAGGCTCTGCAATGTGCAGCACACAAACTAATAAATATTTGCACGTCCCATATAATCTAAGCTCACCAAGACCCTCACTTGTGTTTTTCAACAAATTATCCAGGACCAGATGCTCATTACCCATCCACTTTGCTTGAAAATCATATTTCCAAAAAAGGCGCAAATGTATCGTCTTGACTGCTGTGAACCTATATTTTTTTTTTCTGTAACATATTTGGCACATGAGTTTTCACCTGCTAAGGGTCAGATTAAAATACAGCTTAATGGTTTTGTGAAATAGATGCAGTCATTTTATAACTGCTGATGAACGTAAACATGGGTGGTTAAATACCTGTCTGTTAAGTGCTTGTTCTGTAACTGGCCAAAGAAAAGAATTCTGTGCACTGCCCTCATGAAAGATGTTAAATTGTTTTGCCATTGTTCAGTATTTTAAATGACCATCTGATCTTGCGTACCTTGAACGTATAAAACGAACATTATATGACTTGGCAAGCCGAGAAATCTTTGTATTATCAATACTGAGTTTGCCTTGAGATTAATTTGTTTACAGTATTTAATTAATTAGTATTTAGTTAACAGTAGCAGTTGTGGTGACTTGTCGATTTGAGTACCCAACTGCTAATCCAAGGACAAACTGCTTAATTGCTACAAACAATTTGTAGCACTGCCATTTCCTGAAACAAAAGCCTACTTTTTTAAAAGTGTTTTAGTTAGTTGAGTATTTTGTAGCAATGTTCACATTTTCTGAGGATTGTCACCTCCTTCCTTTTGAGCCAAGTTACCAAAGAAGTACCAATACGAGAATCACAATCATAAAATATTGGTGGATTGTATCCCTGAACAAATAAATCATTGAAATACAAACAAGTGAGGTGCCTTGCTGTCTCAGCTACAGGTCCAATACTGCTCTCTTTCATCATGGTTGTAAATTCAGCATCTACATGAGGTACAGTGACTTGTCAGTTTTTAGACATGGACCAACATACACTGATGTATAAAAAAAAAACAGTAAAATACATAACTTATACTTCACTAAGTATTCATGAACAAAAATAGAATTCTATTTTCCTATGTTATATTTACAATTAAAAAATCTACTATGAGATGGTGAATTTAAAAAAAAAACAAAACAAAAAAAACTTTGTTTTGAGCTCCAATTTAGGTTAAAACATTTTAAGTCTTACCGTGTTCATTTTTATTTTTTTTCTGATTGTCCTTTAATTATTTTGCACTGACACTTTTAGAGCCAACACTGGCTAATAAATACAATAAAATGTCTGTATGTACTATAGAGTTTCAAATACAATACACAACACAAACATATGTGACTAACAAAATGGGCTTTTGGAGGCCGGTGTGTCTCAGTTGACCAGTCACTATGTGAGCGTATGGCTGAGTTCACTGAACATTCTTGTTTACACAGCACTGGAGCTAAAACAAAGTGTTCATACATAATGTATTTTTGCATAAATAAACTAGACAGAAAAATGACTCAAATCTGGCAACTGTGAGACAAGCCCACAGGAGTCAAAACTGATGACTTTTGTTCATGTAGTTTTTTCGTACAACAGCTTCACATTAGTCAGAATTGATAAAAAATACCATTTATATCCAGTGCTTTTAACACTTACGAAAAAAATGTCTCTGTGTGAGTTTTAATTTTTTTTTCTATTTTTTGTACTACAAGCGCAATCAAGTTTCAGTCCCAAGAACAGTCCTTTGTTTTCCATCAGCCTGCAAAATATTATTTTGGCATGGTCATGAAGAATGGAAATACAAACAATCAAAAAATATATAACCTAAAAACTATTTTTTTTTTGCCTGTGTGCAAAAAGAAAAAAAAACAATACAATAATCGTACAAAACATTCTACTTAGCGTCCTATGCACTCACACAAAAAATAAAATAAGGGGACCTTATGAGAACTGCTCAAAAGTTTTAAGACCTTAATAAATACTCTGCATGAAAAACAAAAAAGGGAGATTTAAGGTTTGATCAAAATGTAAAAGTCAAAAATGCTTAATTCTCGAACTCAGTACCTTTTGAACTGCTGAAAGTAACAGAGTGATCATCAGATCAGCGACAGCCGACACAGGTTAAGAAGGTGGCAATATGGCCTGGAACTTTGAAATGTTTTTGCTGGCCAACATTGTTTGCTGCTGATGAAACAGACCAGTTCAAGGGCATACCAAAAATAACAAGACTCATACATTAATAATGTTCTATTTGAGACGATACCTACTCGTCAGTCATTTTAATAATCCCTCACAGCTTGGCTCACTTATTCCATCTGTTCACCAGCATCTCGTGGCTCTTTTGCACTGTGGCCTTGTGAGAGCACTTTGATGAACAGCACAATCAATGCTGCTTGAGATTCCCCATTGTTCGCCTCTCATAGATGCTCCGAACAATTTTGGAGACAGATGGCACCCCCTTGGGGTAAAGGCTACCATGGGCAGGAACGGATAAAGCACCCTGTGGGTTAGAGGGGCAGATAGGTGCTTAACTGGAGAAGAAAGCCGAAACTGCACCAAATGGGCCACATCTCATGTTCTCAAAAAGAAGGCCACCCTTTTAGACTCCAGTAGGTCATATAAAACAAAGTCTACTGGCTGCTCCTCCAAAGACAAACTTAAAAGGTCACAAAAGCCCCATAACCTTGAAAAGTAATAAGGAGGCACTTCACTGTCCTGCTTCTGAGTTACATTAATCAAGATTAAATTTTCTTGATTAAGGCAATTAATGAAGATTAAATTGTGTATCCTACATTGTAAGACACTGGCTAATATGTCCTAGAGTCTTTATAGGTTTACTTTATAGGTACTTTATTGGAACAGTTTTTGAAAAATTTTGAAAACGTTAAAAACCGGTCAGATTTAAAAGTGAACCAAATGCAACCCTGACCTTTAAAAATAATGTTCAGGGTTTAATTTACATACATGTCATAACACGTCATTTTCTGAAACATTAGCATATTTTCTACCCTATATTCATATAGAAAAAAATTGTTACTCTGCATAATGTGTCTCATTAATTCTTGATGTAAAGCCAGATGATTTTTTAATTCAGAGCACAGTAAATTAAAAACACATCTAAGGAAAATGATAATTTCTATCTATGGTCTGCCCCTGTGGTCATCCTATGAAATCTATAAATCTGTATTTTACCGAAATTAGAAGCATTGTGTCTGAAATTGCACATTTAGCACCTGCTTCCTAATGTGACTTCACTGCCAGTTTCATTCCAACAATCCAGTAATTCGTAAGACTTGAATATGAGGCTTCCTGCATGTAAACATCATCTGTCAGTGTTAAGACTATCTGAGTTGATTAAATTAAGTTTTAATCGTATGGAAAAAAAATCAATTAAGGAATTTAAACTTTGTGTCTTATTAAGGGGTGAAGTGCTAAACAAAATCTACTGTACGTACTGTACCACAGCAAATCTGATGCCACCAAAGCTGCCTTTTGCTGCCTTTCCAATTTCACAGATTGGAAGCTATTGGCCCCTTGGCATTCTGGAATGATTACAATCACTCTGATTAAGAATTAACTCTGTAAGATTGAATGCAAGGGCTGAATAAAGACCTTACAGAACTGAATGCAGCAGAAATTGGTTTCTGTAGACGTCGCTGACAAGTAACTGCTGATCACTCTGTTGTGCTTCCTTGAGAAATCCTGAACTCATGGCACATTAACAGGCAAAAGCATCTGGGCATGTGCACTGTGGCAACCATTTCCACAACTAAACAACAACCTGTCACCAGATTCCTGAGTACTTTACTACTGTAGTGAAAAAAGAAAAGTTCGTTATTTATGCTGTCTCAGTTAAGATACCAAAAGATTGTCTAAGACTTTTGCAGTGTCTCCCTTAAGACTTAAAAGATTAAGATATTTCGTGAACGTTCTGAAAAAGTTTGGCACGTTTGGAGTTAAAACTGTACAAAATGGAAAAAAACAACAATGATAATAATTATAATAATAGCAATAATAATAACAATAATAATCAGGGAGTCTGATGTTTTCCCTCTGCGCACTTCTGCACACTTGTGGACTTGTTCTATGTTTCATCTCAATATGAAATCTCAAAGTTTTTTTTCTTTTTCTTTTTTTAAATAATTCAGATTAAAAACACATTCACAAGCTGTTGGCTGGCACAGCATACCTGAGTGAGAATATAACCCCCATCAAAAACAGTAATGTAAGCTTTTAAAAGCATTCAAAAGAAAAAAAAATATATGTATATTTATATATAAGAAAAGGTAAGACTGTGAGAGAGCTATGGATTCTTATTAAATGTTAGGTTTCAAGTCCTGTCATCCGAAGGTTTGTAGGCAAAAACCTAAATGTGTAAAATGTCCATGAACAAAACAAAAAATAAAAGAATTAAAAAAAAACAATCAAACTGCTTCACACATTAAGAAACATTTAAGACCATTTGCTGTTGAATCTGTCAGAGCCACATATGCATGCAGGCTCTTTAAGAACGTTTGTTCAGAAGAGTTTTTTTTCTCTTTTGTTTTTCTTTGCTGTAATCAGCAGGCGCTTCTCAGTTGGCGCTGACGGCCTCTTGAGTTTCATTGTCACTGCTGTAGTCCGATTTGGGCTCGTCCTCATAGTCCTCGTACATATCCATCTCATCCTCTCCGTTCACTGTCTCGTTGCCCACCATGCCTCCACTCTCCATCTTCATCCCGTAGGTGCTCTGAATGACCGGGATGGTGGGCTCAGGGCTGGCAGAAGTGCTGGAGCAGTCTGACGTCATCTGAGGGGAGGGTGTGGTGGTTGCCATGGTGATAGCTCCAGGATACACAACACCTGCAGTTGTGTTGATCGGCATCTGAGGTTGCTGCCTGCATGACAAATTAATCTGTTACTGTATATTTCACAGCAGAACACAAATATATAGATTTCCCCACCAAAAGAAAAAACAAAACAAGACAAATAACTAAAACAAAATAAATAAAATAGTTTGTCCACTGCTTAAGTGTGGCGACAGCAATTTGGAAACTCTTCAGATTCATTAACTCCAAACTCCAAAAATTTGAAAATTTGTAATCTGATTCATTGTGTCACTGAGCTTTGTTGGTTTTACTGAAAGTCCTTGGTAGTAATGATTTGTTGCAGGACAGAGACTTAAGAGTTTTGATCCGTGACTTCAACAGTAAAGAACAGAAAAAAAATCTGCCAGAATTAAGGAATGTAATTACAGTCTAAAGGCATAAAAATGAAGGAATGTTACAAGTACTTAGACTCCTGTATTTCGTCCCTTAGGGTAGTCAAACAATTAAAGTATTTTAATTGCCAAATTTAACTCAAGTTACTCATATATTTTACTTAAAAATCTACAGTCTTTAGCATCTGTGAAAAAGATTTAAAGGAGTCCTGTGGACAATACATCTCTCAAATTAAATTGTAGAAAAATAACTAAAGGGAAAAAGAAAATATATCCCATACATGCCTTGTTATTGTGAAGTATTCAAGCTTAAATATCTTTTTTCCTGCATGTGAAGAATGAACACCTGGAGCAAACTTTTCCTAACTGACCACATATAATAAATTATCAAGTTAAACTTCTAGCTCATGCCCTAAAGGCCTTTTCTTAAATTAATGCTTATATTTTATATCCTATAAAAATGTCTGTCTACTTTCTTTGCTTGCAGCCTGCTATTGTCCTAATTTAATAAATTACGGCTATTAAAATTCACTTGAGTTTAAATCTATGTTCTTTAAAATGCAGGATTGCAATTAATTTAAACACTTTGCAAATGGTTTTTATTAAAACTATCAAAACCAGTTTTCATCATCGTCATTGCAAGTATAATGAAAGAATAACAACTGTTTATGAAAAACGGCTACTTGTTATTGTTTAACGAGCTGTTCATTAGAATTGTGTTGGAGTAATATATCATCAGAAACATTACTTAATGAGCTACTGTATAAATATAATCACATCCATTACGGGGTCAGCAGTTGTGTGTAAGAATTTGGCACATACAGTACTCTCTGCTCTCACTGAAGGGTTTCTCTAACCTGCAGACCATTTTAGCTCAAACATCCTGCTTTGTGGAAGGAGGAGAAAACTGAAAAAGTCCAGGACCTATACTAATTTGGTATAAAAGTTCAGGACCTAAACCAATTTGTACTACATTTTTACATGTATATATGAGAAATACTTGCCAAAGCTATAAAGGCATTAAACAGAATATTAACCAGTTAAGTCAAATCAAACAATACACCACTGTAACGTCAATAAAACAGACCGATTGAACAAATCAAACCAAAGCAGTAATTCGAGTCAGTCGTGTTTAGAGGTTGTTTTATTGTGGTTCATCGCCTGTGTTAATACTAAAAGGTAATGGAATATGCGCGTCAGCAGCTCACAACTGCACCTACCCTACAGTGAAGAACTGTCTCATCTCCTGCCTCCGAGATCGCATCATCTGCTTATACTCGCCGATCCGCAGCTTCTTCCCGTCGATGATGCAGGTGCGTTTAGGCCGGGGCTTGTACTTATAGTTGGGGTATTTCTCTAAGTGAATCTTGCTGAGCCGAGCTTGCTCCTCGTAGTAGGGTTGCTTCTCCTGGTTTGACATGGCTTTCCAGCGGGAACCTGGTGTCAGAATCACAGGCAAGTCATTGAACAAAGCTTCTCGAGAAGGAAGTAAACAGGAACCATCCCTCATTTTCCTTTCCTCCTTGTCACACGGCTGAAACTACAGAATAATGCCAGTGTTGAATGTTTTTTTTTTGTAAATTAAAAATGACAGCGAAAGCAGAATGCCCATTCTCTCCCTCACCACTCTCTTGCTACAGATGACTTCAGCACATCAATATATTCGATTCTGAAAAAAACTCTCTAAAACTCTTATCATCTTCAATATGTTTCCAAATCATTTTATAGACCTTGAATTAGTGTGTTATTGAATTACTGTAAATAATTACTGAAATATTGTTGTAGTGTTACGATAATATTAAAGATATCAGCTGAAGTATCACAGTGTATTGTGTGTAGAGCTTCAGCTTTGTAGAGGTGAATATGCAGTATTTACAGTATATGATTCATGGTATTTACCTGCTGAAACCAAAGGTATTTAATCACAATTGTCAGAGGTTAGACATTTAACTTTAAAAATACTGCTGTTCACAAAAAGAGGTTCAAAGACGCTGATGGACTGTTCCTGAGGCTTGGACATCTGCACAGCTCCATCAAGGCAGACTGTAAATACTGTGCGGAACAAACAGGATGTCTAGAAGAATGCAGGTCTGTCACTTTGTTTATGAAGGTTTATCTAAACTTTGCTTTTTTGTCTTCCGTGAAACGCATCAAGTTACATTTTTGTAACATAGCATAACAGCTACTTTCCAGCTGTGTTATACGATTAGTAAAGTAAACTCTTTGTTGTATAGGATTCCATTTGAATTAGCTTTTTGTTACATTACAAGAAAACAACAGCACTGTAAATATTTTGACCATCCAATGTGTCCAACTTGAGGGGGGGCTCTAGTAGCTGTGATCTATTGATTTTCAGTAATAAAAGAAGAGATCCATTAAGCACTGCAATTTTTTATAACAAGGTTTTAGTGACAGGCAGTAAATCCTTCAGAATTTAGGAGAGGTTTGATTCCTGTGCTATGTTGGATTTAATGTGAAGGCTAACACCTCTAGCCATTCAACAACATTACAATATTTAAAATACACATACAGAGTTTATTAATTACGGTACATATTAATGAAGATCTCAGGGGAAATCTGAAGCACGGAATAACAAGATTTATTAAACACTAATTTGAATTTAAAAAATGGCTATCAAAATTTAATTAGCACACTCTTCTGTTTGTCTGAGACTATTTTCTTGATGGTTCTGTAGTATAAACAAGTAAAAATTGGTGTTACTGCATTTTCAGTCTCTCTGCAGGTGCAAACTATTTCTGAGATTATTAATATCCACTTCACACATACAGCACAGCCAACATGTTGTCATATATTTAGTATTTTAAAGAAAAAATCTCATACATGACAACAGAGTAGACATTTATCTTGCAGCTTTTTTTTGCCCGTATTATCGAACTAAATTCTATACATTCATTTATCCAAAGTATGGTTTTGAGTTTTGAAGAAGTACAGTACTTGAATGTCTGTGCCCAACCAGTCTTTCCATTTATTCAAACAGTATTTCAGTGTTTTATGAATGGAGTTCTGTTTCTTGCACTTATTAACATGGCACTTTTAAATGCTACACATTTATCACTCTTGCCAGGAGCCAAATAGCAAAAGGTTTATGAACAGCTAAAAGACTATTCATAGAAACTTTAAGATAGGTTTGAAAGGATTCTGATTATTTTGTAACTTTAGAGAAATATAGATAATAGTGTTTTTGAATCAGTGAATAGTTCACTGGAGGGAAAATATGTTTTTAAATAATATGAATAATTCAGGTATTATTTCCATTGTGTTCATGGAGGAATATTTAGAATAAATCGGTTTTGTTTTATTTAAAATTTACACACCAACCAAAGAAAATGCCAATATTATAGTGTTTTAGGAAAATTGTATTTGCTTTAAACACTTCTGTCATGTATCATTTTAATTGTCCACATGGCACACATGTACTCTATTTAAATTATATAATGTACAGTATACTCTTTTTACCATACTGTATATAGCTTATTCTTTAAATGTGTGATGGAATTTGGAAAAGTATACAAAACTAGGGAAACCTCATCAGGTTTTGAGCACAATTAAAAAAACATCATATTAAATAAGATGTGATTAGTCAATTGTGAATATTTATGTTAATTAAAAAAACAATTTGTTTACAAATCATCTTAATTATGTAGAAGTTTTCTTTTTACAGTACCACATTCCTATGTCTGAGGACAAGATCAGGAAGAAAGATGAGAAAACCTGTACATTTACTCCCATTTGCTCTACCAAATGATACAGATTTGTTATTGATTACAGAATGAAGTTCTGTATGTCACCAGAAATGTTCATGAGGAAACCTCATCTTAATCCACTATAGTTATTCAGTCATGTGATCATACTGGAACATACTCTGCACCGCAGTACAGTATAAAAAGCAAACAAATTATTCATTATTAAAACATATAATAAATGTATTTACCTTGTACTGTAGGATAAACAGTGTATTATACAGTAGCTTACAAGTGACATGTTTTTACTTACTTTTTCCTTCAAATGGTGCGAGTTTAAAATTATTATTTTTCCAAGTGCTGCACCAGTGTAGAACAGCTCATTTCAATTTCGTATTCAGCAGCTTTGGCCAGCATGCTCCTGACCTGGCCTTAGCTGACTTGAGGACAAATACTCCAACAGTCAAACCACTCTCTTTTTCTCTTACACTGCAGACCAGAATGGAAGCAGGTGAGTTTAAGGGCTCAGGACACCTGATGGGGCTCTGCAGGAAGCCAGTCAGCCACAGGGGTCACTGCTGAGTAAGCACTGACATAGGAGGTTTTATCCAATGTGAGGCCGGTGCCACATGGGCCAATGGAAATTTCAAAGCAGCGATTTTTGTATGGTAGGGTTCAATCTGTTATCTGTGTGAAGGATTTTACAAGTCAACCAGCCTGAATATGAAACAGAATGGAATTCTTACCTAGTATTTTGCTGATATTGGAGTTATGCATGTCGGGAAATGCCTGGAGTATCTTCCTCCTCTCATCTTTCGCCCAAACCATGAAGGCATTCATTGGCCGTTTGATGTGGGGCTCGTTGCTGTTCCTTCCCCGGCTTTCCCTGTACACTCGCGCCTCAGTGGTGCTGGCGCCTCCTGTTGGCCAACAATAATACTGTTGTAGTTTACCTGCAGAGCCATTCACTGCTTTACTCCCTGGAAACACCAGAGCAGGAAGAAAAGAGAGCAATGCAAAACATTAATCACCTGCTTTCAGAGGGATGGCCAAATTTCTAAAAAAAGAAATTGCCAGTCTCATAGGGCTTTGGCAGAAAATTGTGCCAAAAAAGAAGTTGTTGGTTCTAGCCTAGGCAGTAGCCTATTTCTTTTTCAAAACCAGGAAAAAGCAGAATGATAACTTTAACTATTTTCACCAGCTGTCATTTTGTATCATCAAAAGTTGACTTTTTCCAATTTATGATAACTCAGTTATTAAAGTTTGTCTCATTAATTGGGAACCAAGGAGATTTAAGGAAAAAACGGAAAAAGGAAAATAAGAAGATCTACATAGAACAGGTATATAACATCTCACCAAGCCTTTATCAGAACAGATTTACTGTAGCAACAAGCAGTTCCGGGACAAGAATTCCTTTATTTAAGAGCCATTAAGTAAAATTTCTTACTTTCTGTTAGAGAGCACACCACAGTGTCTACCATTATTTGCTTCAATCTCAGATTTACATGTTTTACATGGATTCAAATAAGTACGTCAACTATCATTTTAATAAAAAAAGAAATGACTGTTGTCTTTATAAGGACAGGTTAAGCCCCAAAAAGCATACACAATATTAACATATATTGATTATGGCAATGAGTGTATACACCACTGGGACACACTGCTTTGTGGGTCGCACATATTTAACTATGCTTGAGTGAAAGAATCCCTTTTGAATGCATATTAGGTTCTTATTTTTATACGTAGGATTTGAAAGAATTGTGAAACATTTATGAATTTCTAAACAAAAAACATGTCTATGAACAAGGACTTTAAAAATTAAAAATAAAAAGCTTCCCATATGCCATGATACATGTTTAATGATCCAAAAATTGGAAAAGAAAGCTTGGAATGACTTTCATGAATATTTCATAACCCACATGTGATGTGTATTCATTAGGACCTTCAACTCTTAATCTTGGCACATTACCTTGTTTTTCCCTGCTAAAGTTTATAATGATTTTTTTTCATCCAAAACCAGGCATGTATTACTATGTCCACTCCCTCTTTGTATAAAATGTTCAAGCAATCTGTTTTTCCTTTAGTATAAGTTGTATGACAGAAAGTTCAACTGTTAAAATGATTATCTGAGTATAAACCAAAAACATAAGAAGGTAGTTTCCTCATGAGAAAAGTTTTTTTTTATTGCTGTTATTAAAAAAATGTCCCTGCAAAAGAGAAAAAATACCACACTGAAGACTTAGAGTACTGCTTCACCTGCACCTATAATTTCTATTGCTACCTGCATGAAACTTTTAACAAAAATTAAATGTGGCTAAAGAGCCTTTATCTCTGATAATCTAGCACTGAAAAAAGACACCAGCTGTCCAGATGTCCAGTAGGAGGCTCTGGTCTCCTGATTATTTTGAGCAATGTTAGTATACAGTGAGTAAAAATCCATTTTCTACAGTTCATGTTTTACAGTCATACCAACACATTTATGCCCCATAAAGACTCCTCTTTATCTGGAAAACCAGCACAATTTGCTTATTCACACCGTCATGGTGCATCAGTCAAGGCCTGTAGTTTCTTGCACGCAGAGGCAGTACAGTCTCTTGTCATTTTAAACCAGGAAGCAGACTTACTGAGGCCAGTTTTAAACAACAGAATCACTCAGGGAAAAGGGAAACAGTCACTGAAATGTCTTAATGATAGCCACTGAATTAAAACACTTTAAACATCAACAGCTTCATATTTTTTTCAAGATTTATTTCTTCTTCGACTTGCCTAAAACCAAGACAAGAGATTTAACTGTTCAACTGCGAGGAGAAAAAATATACTTTGCTGTTTAAAATAGAACAAAATTGTACTTTTTTTTCTTCTAAAAGGTCTTGGTATCGAGTGGGAAGTCCTACTAAGGTGTAACAGGATAGACAGAACAAAAGTTTAATTCTCAGTTTCTAATCAAATATGTGTACATATATGTTTGTGTCTGTCATGGTCAGAGAAAAGGTCTTCAGAATTACCGACATCTTGTTCTTCGACTGAAATCAAATCTCACACGGAAATCACAGTCAACCCCAAATGCTGCATTTTCACTCCCATTTCATGCCAGCTGCTTAAAGCTGTGAGGATGTGTGGATAATACACTACCTTCCTGCCACCGTCCCCACAGTACATTAATTTCATTTAGCACGCACTAACCGTACAGGATAAATTGATTTCACTTTGTATGGTTTTGACAGCCATGTTTATTGTGCAATGAAATGTAGTGTAGCGTTGGGCTGACAGCATCCATCAACACATGGCAATCTGCTGACTGCCGGGCCAGATGAAGGCATCCATTACCCCAGGAGCGAAACGCTCGTTCAGACACGACAGTCACTGTCTGCTCCCGAGGATCACTGCACTAATTTATGATGCCCCCAGTGCCATTACTTTACAACTGACACTGATTCAGCAATTTATATACTGGCATGCATGCATATAAGCAGAGGTGAGGTCCTTCTGAAGAAAAAAGGAGACAAAAACACAGATTTATTTGCAAATACACCATTTCAATAAGTTAATTATAACTATTTCCAGGAAATCATTTTCTGATCTAAGAGCTTTGAGTTTGAACTGAGGATTTCTTACAAGCGATTACATTAACACTATGCTATAGTCTATATTTATGAGCCTAGCCTTTTTTAAATATTGTGAAATTTTTAGCAACCGTTTTAGGAACTTTAGGAAGATTTACTGCCTTTACTAGCGCAGAGTGAGATTTAGCCTGAACACCAGGGTTAGTCCTTTGAAGAGTACCATCAGATTATTCTGCATTCTGCATCCTCCATGCTGGGTCATTATTTTGGAAAGTCTGATCTAGAGGGAAGAGTACCTCTTACTGGTTTACCTGTTCATTAGGTTCTCCACTCCTTTTGTTGTGCTTAAATACCATGAAACGTATAACAAACTGCTTTTAATTTACATAACACATCATTCAAAAATATCTAAATATAACGTCTATAATATTTACCTTACAAAATATATTTGGCACAAAATAAATATTTCTTTAGTTAAACTGAACTGTTGATGACTAAGCTATTTGCAGATTCAGAAAAAATATTAAATGAATCACAAAATTAGCCCCACATTCGAACCAATTTTCTTATCAATAAGACTGCAGTGCGGAACGTTTCTCTTCTTCGCTATTTCACTGTGGAGGTGAAAAAAAAAAGTATTTCCACATGTACGTCTCTTGGTGGACAAGAAACGACAGTCAAGGACTTTTGCACATGTGCCCAACAGCAGTTGACTCATTCCTGTTTATAAACACGGGTGGTCCGTGTTTAATTTTCCATAGGGGGAGGAGTTTTCTTTCTTGCAATCAAGATTTGCTTTAAACAAAAACAGACAAGTAGCCGGCAACGAAGCCAGCTCACACAAGGTTACCCGATATCCAAAAACATGTAATTTACAAAAAGTTTTTTATCTTCTTTCACTCTAAAAAACAAAAAAAAGTGTTCCGACATTAATTGATGCTTGTCTGATAGACATTTTTAGGAAGCACCTTGTTAGGTTGCTGATTGTGTAAACAAATACAGATGTTTAGCAATGACATGGACAGACCCCCAGGGTGCTTGCAGTGAGCTGAGGGTGTTAATAGAATGTATGTTGATTTACGAGGTCTGGTTAACAATCTGACAGAATGATACGTGAATTTCTTTTTAATTTCTCTTAAAAGTAGATCTGGGAAGCATCGACCACATAAATTACAAGTGCCCAGAGAAAGCAGCGCAGAACCAACCCACACCTGCCTGAAGCAGGCCTATACTTGATAGGGACAAGAAGGGAGCCAAAAGCTGAGCTCTTCCATTTCTTCCCAGAGTCAGTCTTTATAGAAGGGCAGAGGGGCTGTCACAAAAGAATCTTCTTAGAATGATCCACTTTGGCAAATAACTAACAATCACGCAAACCTGCCAGCTGTTTTTGTCTTAAAAATAATATAACTTCTCCTGAAGGTATTATGCCTGACAATAGGGTTTCTCCATTACTGACATTTCAGTTTTGAAAGGAATATATCATGACACATGGAACACAATGCAATGAGCACCGATGAGCAATTAAAGCATTACAAATTACAAGCCATTTAAGATCTACTTAAACATGCCCCATGTTTTTTTTTTGCATGTTGAAAGTTTTGAATACTGCTGTGTGTAAATGAGTATAAATGTTGAACATGCCACTACTTGTTTTGTGTAGCTACTGCCTTTTCTGTTATTTCTTATATTACATGCTTTCAAGTCTGGTATGTTAAGGTTATGGTTGGGAATTGAGGACTCTACAAACCAACTAGGATTTAGATGCTATAGTACAGCATATTCACAAATGACATGAAAAAGAAAACAACTTAATTTCTGTAGTTTGTCAGAAACAGAAAGTCATTTTAGTGAAAAAGCTAATAGTCAAATTGTGTGTAAATATTTTTTTAAATGTGGCCAGAGCTGGAATGGTGCAATTAGGATGTCATAGAGAGTTTTGCTTAATAATGTTTTTCAATTAGAACTACAGTACAGATCTCACCATGTATTTAATTTTCACCCAAGGTGACAGTGAAATAAATAAGGTTCCCCACCCTTTCAAAAATGAAAAAAAAAAATCACCCACAGACTAAATTTCTACTCCATTCTTCCTAACTGTTGAGGATAAATTAGGAAACTGATATCTTATTGCAGACGCAGACTTTTTAGCCACAGACTTGCCTGCTCTATACATCTATACACAAGACGCACAATAAATTCCCTCTAGTAGGCACTGAGGAAAACATTAACTTCTCATTCAATAATTCAGCGACAACGCTACAAAAAAAGCACATTTTTATAGGTCTCTCCATATGGAGTCAATTGCCCATTAATAGCTAATCAATCCCTCCTCTTTTTATTCTGCTGATATTGTCACAAACCACGTTTAGATTAGCCCATTTCCTGCTTGGGATCTCTCAACATGCCTTTTGTTCTCTCAGGGCCTGTCTGACGGAGGCTGCTTAAACAAGCACACGACCCAAGTGGCACAGAAGTTATAAACTGCCATATGTGAATGAACAAAGGACCCATACTAAAGCCTTTTGTGGTATTTGTTAATGTTTTTCATCTGAGCTTAAAAAGACCTAATGACTTTGTGGTGAGCTGATGCATATGGCTCGTGGCTTTGCAAAATGAAGGAAATTCTATCTACTTCCACACCAGCTTCTATTTTCCAGTGTCCCTCGTTAGAATTTTGGCAGCTGGTAATTCGGTTGCTGCATGCATTACAAATATTGGTTTAAGCAACCTAAGGCTTTCTGACAGTTACAGGAACGAAGAAGCATGGCTTTGCTGAAAAATAAACTAGTTCTTCCATATAACGCTGGTTTTCTTTTCTGTGTTTTGGCAGACACACCACACTTTGGGCACTAAAGAATATAGGATACAGAAATCCTCTTGTTGTAAAAAAACATGGTGGTACAAAAATGCAGCGGTAAAATCTGTGTCTTTCAGGAACAGAGGATTCACAGGCTTCATACTAATATCCTGTATAGATGTATTAATACTTTAAGGACTGAGAGATTGACAGCAAATTTGGTCATTCATTACGTTTACCTTTTTACCAGAATGGAGTATGTTAAATGTTTAAGTGTCTGCAGGTAGTTTGTCCTGATCAGCAAGACTGATCACCACAGAGTGACGGACATTGTTAATAATTCTGCAAACCTCCCATTACATTTAACTTAATTTGCCTTTGAATCATTTTGATTACAGACAGCTTTTGTCTATAGCGCTGTACACTTTCTTTGGCTGATGTTGGCGAGTACATGCGTACCGATTTTTTGGTGGTTATATACTACATATAACCATTATGCTACTTCATGACAAAATCATATTTTTATCATTTCATTGTTTATGCATAAACCACGGCGTTCCTGTTTTCATCAACTATAAACAAATTATTATAATGGCTGTGAAAGGATTACTTTATCTGGATGCATGTGTATTTCACAATACAGATTTCTTCTGATGGTGAAACAACAAATGATGATAACAAATAAGTGACGTTCTGAAGTGATGGATGTTTCAATGGTCTGAAAAGGTGTTGGCCTTAATTCAACGTGTACCCTCTGGGAAGAACTCTTCATGGCCCCTGTCTCTCTGCACATCCTTCATCTGAAGTCTGTTGGAGATTTGCTGCAGAAAATTATCCGGCAAATTTCTCTAACTTTCTCATTCAAAAGGGGCAAATGTCTGACAAGTGTCCAACACTCCTGTTGAACTAATTATTCTGGTACTCCACTCAGAGTCCTTACATACTGTATCTCTTAAGTAGAAAAGTACATAGAGCTGTAGTAGAAAAGTAAGAATCCTCTATTTTTCAGACCTGTTGGATACTTTAGGATACAAAAAGAAGACACATTACTTGCTAACTCCAATATGCAGAAACCAGTTTGCACTTATTTTTAAATGCCTTGATGCACAGACTTGAATTCAGATAGTGCATAAAAAATGAACAGATAATTAGTTGCAGAGGAGTGTACATCTGGGTGTGTTGTATATGTATGCAGAAGTAATATATATGTTTTTTCTTTTGCATGCACTCCCGTTCACACGGCGAATTCTTGAAAGACAGATAGCAGTATAACACACTGCAAGTATGCAGTCTTTTGAGAAATATTTACTACTTTGTCTCCACACAATCCCGACCATTAAAAGTGAGTATGATTAACTTTTTTCTGCCCCTGTGAAGTGCCATGGAAACTGCTATAAATATTTATGCATGACAAATATTGGCGCACAGAAACGTTCTTCTCCTGTGTTTAGGAATAAAAGCCACAAAGGGGGATGACGCTTTGTCAAGCAAGCGCTACCAGAATTTACACCTCCACGCCAGGGGACCTTAAACAACTGACATCACACTCAGGGCCAGCACTGGAGAAATGCCAGCTTTGTTCTCACTTTCCACTCTTTTAATCACCTACCTGTGAAAAGGAGAGTGTGACCCATTTCTTCAAACACATATACACACAGATCGTGCTCTGCTTACAGCCATCGGCTTCAATGCTAACCTCTACAATATACAAACGCATATGGATATTCCTCTTAGTGCAGGTTTCTACTCTGCTAAAAACTGCTGGGTATCATATTTGATTTTGAAGTCACAATGTAATGATGAAAAAAGAAAATCTAGTGCGTTCAGGTGCCAGCCTTGCTGCTTTTTGAAATGATAGTTTTATATATGTAGAGCCTACGATCAGCAAGAACACTAATGCGAAGGATTTATAACAAAACTATCCCAAATAGTTGCTTAAAGGGTTTTTATGACTGTATTTTACATTAATATTTCACAATAACAAATTTCCAACACTTAAAACACTGAGCAGCTGTGATTTTTCATCTTTTCCTTAAACAATGGTAGCACCACTCCACAGCAGTAATAGGTCACTGTAGACAAGCAAACATTACTCCTGACAGATAGACTCCCGACTAAGAGGGTCTGAGAGATCTACCTGATCTCTTAACAATGTAAAGAAATTTGTTATTGGCACTGGTTAGTGTGATGTGCAACTCCAAGTCAAGTTGACAAAAGGTTTGAGTTATCTTCAAGCTGTGTTTTATCCGCAGGGCTGTGGTTCAAAGGGGCTCACAACCTGTGTTACTTGGAGGAGGGGGCTGGGGTTCCACTCACCATCCACATCTTCAGGCCTGGTGAGGTCAATCACACGGGGGCCTATCTTCCCATCTTCCCCCAGTTTGGCTGTCAGCTGATGGCCCAGATTTTCAAACTGCACTCTGTCCTGCAGGCAGAAGCAAAAACACAGTCAGTCGAAGAAGGGAAGGTGAGTGAAAATTATTTTCAACTGACCACTCGCTTCCCTCAGAACCAATTCCTCCTCTTGATACCAACCCTGCTTAGGCTTTCAAGATCTAAACATCTTCCATCTCCCATACCCCCATTTTGTATGGAAAATGGCATCTAAACAATTTTATTTTTACTTCAGTCAAGCACTTTCAGCTCAGTCAATCTTCTATTAACTAGAGTTTCTTTGATTTTAATAATTTATTTGTAGAGAAACCTAATTAAAAAATAATTAAAGGTCTTATAATCCCATGAAACAGTTAGCAGGAGTGACATGATCTCAAACTCTAATTCACTTTTTTTGTAAGATACTAAAAGTTAATTGTTAAACATCTTCCCTCTTTCTGTGAAATTAGACTATTATCATATTAAATAATAAGATGGTAAAAATTATAAGTGACATGAAGGAAACAATGCACAATAATTTTCAATTTCCCAAAGGGTTACGTATTTATACCACAAAGGTCCAAAACCATAATTAACACCATGCACATCATCACCATTATTTACTGTAGCCACGTCTAGTGCATATTGGCCAAATAGTGCCACATTTACACGAGAAAAGTGTCTCAGTTTAAATAATGGAAGACAATTCGTATCAGAGACACATTTATCACAGAACTATGGGAGCCAAAAAGCTTGCAGATATTAAACCATATTTACTATCTCCCCAATCAGACATGTTTAAGTCACAAGATGTTACATAATAAATTCAGAAAATACTACACAACTATACTTTGAAAAATAAAAAATGCATCAGTTAAAACGTTTAATTTGTCCAACTGATAAGACTGGTTAATTGTACATTACAAGGAAAATAGATAATACACCAAATCAGTTAGAAATAATACAAATACAGTATACATACATGTTTATGCACATGTTTATATTCATGTTCGGGTATATACAGTTCGGTGCATAGTGTTCACAGAAAAAATATGTCAGAACTCCTGAAAAAAAGGCCTTTCAAACAGCTTCAAGAGAAATGCAAATTCTGCAATCTCCCACTTTATTAAAAGTGCGACTGGATTTATGCAGAGTGCTAAGTGTAAAACAAAAAAGAATTTTCAATGGGGAGAGAACTAACCTGGCAAAGAAAAGGCATTTGAGGAGTTCGGGACCTCCGTGCTAAGAGTTTCCTGTATTCTTGTTGGCACATAGTCTGTATCACTAGCTCAAAGCTCGGTGGTTATCATTTATTCAGAGCTCGTGCTTTAAAGAACACACCGTTTTCTCCCTTTTGTCATGTAGTTTTATGCTCAGATTAAACTTGGCATCATGTTGTACTTGACATACATTGAAACCCTGTCATTCACCGCTCTGCGACAATATTAAATGTCATGTCCGTGTACATTTACAGAATAAAATAACAGCTTTCAGAGCTCTGAATAGTTGCCGCACATTACACTTAATGTAATATGTAGAAGACGAGAGCTGACTGTGGCTTGGTCTATTGTTAAATGACCTAGTTTTGTAGTGAATGTACAGGGCATTAGCAAAGTGCTGTCTTCTTCTTTAACGACTGAAGTAGGGATAGATACTTTGACTCCACGTGATACAAATAATCTCTCCCCCTCGGATTCAACTGAAAGATACTAAAAGCAGACATGTAGAGTAACTGTGATTCCTTGGAACAAGCATTTGCTTTACTCCTGGGGTAAGAATCCAATCTCTGCCAATGGTGGACTGCTTTTATTTTATTTTCTAAGAATCCACAGAATATATGCAGGTGTGTTTTCATACAATACTTACAGCTCCCCTGCCATTCTCAGAGACATAGACAAACATATATTCATCCTTCAGGATTCTTGTTTGCCTGTCTGCTTGTTTGTTTTACCCTAGGTCTAATAAAGCTTTTAAGGTTTTGAGGCACCTCATTATACAGAGATAGTGCTCTCTGTAGGCAAAGTCTTCATCAGCCTTTTATATTGAGTCAATAGAAATCTTGCTGTGATTTTATTTTTATCTAGCAGTCACGATTTTAATTTTATTTAACACTGACCTTCAAAATTTCCTTCAGAAGGGAAAAAAAAAACATACATTTAAGAGACAAATGTAATATTGAGAAAAAAACAATATAAAACCAGGTATGCATTCATTTTAAGGAATAAGAGCCTTATTAGCCTTACATATTTCTAAAATGCCATGTCCCACAAAACAGCTGCTGACAGAGAAAATAAATGAGTGCAAAAAACTTTTTGAAGTTACTAGACTTTGAATTCAATTTTCCAACTGCTCTCAGTGCTCCAGCATTTTATCTTTCATTTATTTTTCTAATGCAATAAATATTACACAGGAATAGAGGGGGAAATGTGATTTGCCACTACGCTTCGAGGAACAATAATTATTTATGGACATATGACTGATTTTGATGTACAATTAACCACTACCTGCTCATGGCCTGTCATTAAAAGCTGACTATCTGAATGTGCTGCGCTTATTTAAGTGATTTCTAATTATGATATACAAGGCACCCTTTGCAGCGTGGATGTAGCTGTGTAAAGATTAGATGGAGTGTCCCCTGTTTCAGTGTGGGTTGCTAAATGTTAAATGTTACATGCCACAAAATTCATCACGCAGCCAGATTATCAGAGTTAATGAAAGAGCAGCCTGGTCTATGACAAATAGAGTGAAATATGATTATCTAGATCTCAGTCGCCTTCTGCATCTTCAACCAACAAAAAAAAAAACAACAACAGGAAAATACACACACTTTACCGTTGCCACATACCGGCAAGTAGCTCCTGAGGTTTAATTTAATCCACCATATTTTTTACAAAATGCAGTGATTAAATATATTAAATATTAAATATATTAAATATATTTTGTAAAACATATAAAAATGTAATCTGCCACTAACATTCCATTAAGTGTTAAAGCTCTCCATTACACTATTAAATCCATCAGACAGCATCAGACAACTGGAAAGACAAACTCTCTTGAAAGATTTCATGTGAACCTTACAGCAACATTTCTACCAGAAAATGATCGAAGTATCACGATGGGATCACTATGGGTTTAATAATTAGAAATTGTAAATACAGTGAAAACATTTTAATGTTTACAGTGAAGCAAATTTTTTAAATTGTGCTCAATATGATGTGTCTGTTCAAATATAACACAGGTAAACAGTTATATATCTCAACAATTCAAAATGAAAGATTTTTGTGTAGTCATAAATCTACACAGAAGAATGCTAATGAACATTAAACTGACTTCGGCCCCATTCTCTGTACTGCAGAATGAATTTCCATAAAATTTTATACACTATGTTTTATATACTTATTGGTTATAACCTGTATAATTTATATATGAGCATTAGAATTATACTTAAAATTACGGATGTAATTTATATGCATAACATGACAATTTTTTTTGAAGGCTTGAAAATATTCAGTGAACTAATGTTCCTTTATAGCCCCTGCATCAAGTGCTGTGATAAATTAATGGCATTTTTATTATTTTATAGTCTCATTAAATTTTTACTGATCACTCTGCCACAGAAGAGCAATAAAGGACATTACAGTAACTGGGACAGAGGTATCAGCAGAAAGGAGATGTTTAAAATTGGTTTGGGGAAAAAGCTCGCTATTAATGTTATGTATAACGTGAATTAAATTTAGAAAACAGTGAAGTTGCTTTAGGTGCGGTCACCACAGTGAAACAGCAAGACTTTGCAACATCTTAGCGAACCAAAGCAGGCCTTTCACTGTGTTCAAGAGAGTGCCTATTCTGGTCCCAGAGCAGAAAGACAATATGTAAGATGTAATATTATACTGGGCTCTCCTCCCATCCAGAATAGCACTTTTGATTAGCAAGTGCCCATTCCCTCAAATGAGTTCAGCATGCAAGCTTCCATCCCACATCTAAAATTATAGCAATACACTAGAAACTGAAGTGGAAAAAGGCACCCACAATAATCCAATCCACTTTTTGTGTGCTTCAAATTTGGTTACAAATACATTTTGTTCAACTAAGAATGGTTGCACAGTGAAGTAATACCATATAAGCCAATGGCAGGCCTAAATGGAACTTATTAACTTTTTATCCAGAGCCAAAAAGAGCCAATGTCAGTGATTTAATGAAGGCTTTAATCACAGAAGCCACAGAACATGTGCCTGAGGACTGCTGTACAGCCCACAGGACATATTTTGGGCACCACGAGCAAAATGGGTTTCTGCATTGTACTGTTAGTATCCTGCATTTACGCATCACACTGTGGTTTCACAAAGATTTTCCTTATTTTTATAAATAGCAAGTCAAAAGCTATATAAGTCAAAAATGTTTGCAAAAAGATCAAGAATACTTGATCGCCTGATAAAGCATATTTGTTATCCTGTTCTGCATTCCATATACATCTATTTAACACACAGTTTTAGCTCTTCTTGTTATATTACACAGAAGGTTGGTTCTTTGTAAGATACAGGCAAGTGAAGTGCTGGCAATAGTACAGACACAGCAGGTGTGGGTGGGCGTCACAGAAATCAGCAAGCTCCTAAAACTACAGAACAATAGCACAGTATGGCAAAAACATGATGAATCGAAACTACCAGATCTAAAGATAAGGGGAAAAAGCAAATGTGTAAATCCATTCATGAAAACTTCAAACAGGACATTTCTGTGTTAACACATAACACAAGTTATTTTCCCTTCAGTCCATAATGTTTAGAGGTTCACGTGGCAAAAGGCAATCACACAATGTGATTTTCTCAGTTATTGAAATGGTCTTCTCAAAAGACAAACAGCAAACATCTTCCTCATAGGAAACTATGACTGCTTTTTTTTCCACTATCATTTTTATGGAACAGTGGCATAGGCAAGTACAACTCAAAAGGCAACAAAGAACAAAGAAAGTAATGTGAGCATTTTATTGCTTCTAAAAGGGAGTGTGATAAGTAACAAAACCCCCTAATGTTACTTCCTTACAGTTCTTTCCAC